CCTGAAGTTTATGAACGGGGTTGATGAAAAAATCAAATTCACAATGAATGTAGAGAAAGAGTGGAGTTAGGCCTTCTTAGATGTGGAGGTTATTCACTCTACTGGGACACTTAAGAGGAAATTGTTCCAAAAATAGTCATGTACCGGAATAATACTTAATTTCGGATCTCATCACAATTACAGAATGAGGAGCATGATCATTAGAAAACTAAGATTTACGGACGTGGAATTCTGGGATGAAGAATAGGAAAAATTGACTCGGATATTTCTCGGTAATGGATATGCGAGAGGAGTAATTCAAAGAAACATACTGGTCGGGAAGAGCCGATTGCAGGACGGAGATCATGAAAGAAAGATAAGGATGGAGAAAGACTCACAAACTAGCTCAAAAGCTACGGCCGATATTAAGAAAATGGAATATTTAGGCGACCACTAAAGAAGAGACAACACTCTTCACAAATCTACCCCCGCAGCATGAGATGGTAGATACATTGGATTGCTTAGCAGTTTACTGCACAGCATGCGGCGTCTGCGAACGGAAATACATTGGCAAAACTAGGGGAAAAATCGGCATACATATCAAGGAACATCAAAAGCTCTGAGGGAAAATTGATACTGAAAGATGAGAGACTGGATACGAGATCAATTGGAAGGCAACAGAAAGAAGGGCCCCATACAGTGAAGGCACAAAGAAACGGAAGATTAGGGGAGCCATTGACATCTTTGGGGGAAAAAATGTAATGAACGGGAGATCGGAAGAAGGCAGAATCATCAATTACTTTGCCTATTGCCTAATCGAACTCGGAGAAAACAGAGAGGCAACAAGACAAGCAAAAAGGTGACGCGTCGATCAAGGATCTATCGTTAACCAGAGGAAAAGGGATCACAAGAAAGAAGAGGGTGGGGTGGTTTCAAAAAGGAAACGAAGACGTTTTCAGTGAGAGTAGCCAGCTACAACTTGGGGGTCCGACGTTTCACGTGAATATGGAGAGTGATTGGGTCACAGAAATCGGGCATTGTGACCAAATAGGCTAATAATCCACTTGAGATGCAGCAGACGACCAGACGCGCCTAATCGAGAAGATAATGTGTGAAGGTAATGCCTAATATTCGCAGGAATAG